TCCAGTGAGCAGCTGGGCATTATTTTGTGGAGTGTGGACTGGTTTGATCTTCTCACGGTCCAAGGCACTCTGAGCATTTTCCTTCAGCTCCAGGCATCTCTCTCCCTTCCTTCACTCAGCTTTCCTTATGGTCCAGCTCTCACATCCACACGTTATTATGGGGAATACCATTGCTTTAACTATGCGGACCTTAGGTGCCAGCGTGCTATCTCCATTCTTCACTCTTTTATTGAGATTGGTCATTGCTCTCCTCCCAAGAAGTAAACACATTCTGATTTCCTGGCTGCAGTCTGCGTCTGCAGTCATTTGCTCCTAGAAAAACGTTTTCTCCCTCTATTTGCCAGTTATCAATCCGTCTGGTTGCCATCATCTTGGTTTTCTTGATGTTTCACTGTAAGCCAGCTTTTGCACTTTCTTCTTTCACTTTGGTTAGAAAGCTCCTCAGCTCCTCCTCGCTTTCAGCCATCAAAGTGGTACAATAGAGTCTTGCTTATCCAACCTTCGCTCATCCAATGTTTTGTATTATCCAACACAGTCTGCCTCCTGCTTGGATCCACAGCAGTTTCAATACATTGGGATGTTTTGGTGCTAAATTCGTAAATACACTAATTACTACATAACCTTACTGTGTATTGAACTGCTTTTTTGTTGATTTGTTGTCAAACATGATGTTTTGGTGCTTAATCTGTAAAATCATAATTAGACATTTCATAGACTTTTCCTTAATCCCTCCTTATTATCCAACATTTTTGCTTATCCAACATTCTGCTGGCCCGTTTATGTTTGATTATTATTATTATTATTATTATTATTAAACTTTATTTGTACCCCGCTAGCATCTCCCGAAGGATTCGATGCGGCTTACACAGGCCGAGGCCTCAACACACAACACAACAATACAATCTAAGCAAATCAAACAATTAAAAACAGAATAAAGCAAAATAAACAACAGGCACAATACAGTAAACACAATAAAACTGGGCCGGGCCAGAGCAATGGGTACAAGATTAAAAGTGCTGATGTGACAGGAGGTGTATATAGGGCTTCCAGGGCAAGTGCGATGTGCGATGTGCAGCAATCATTGGTTCTGATAAAGTGCTTATGGGACTTGGTGGTGGAGATTTCCTAATCTGGGAAGGCGCATCGGAAAAGCCAGGTCTTCAAGTTCTTTCTGAAGACAGCCAATGTAGGGGCCTGTCTAAGGTCTTTGGGGAGGGTGTTCCAGAGTCGGGGGCCACCACGGAAAAGGCCCTGTCCCGCGTCCCCACCAAGCGCGCTTGCGACGCCGGTGGGATCACGAGCAGGGCCTCTCCAGATGACCGAAGAGAACGCATGGGTTCGTAGATGGAGATGCGGTCACGCAGGTAGGCTGGTCCCAAACCGTTCAGGGCTTTGTAGGTAAGCACCTGCACCTTGAATTGGGCTCGGAAAATAAATGGCAGCCACTGGAGCTCCTTGAACAGGAGGGTTGACCTCTCTCTGTAAGGGGCCCCAGTTAGCATCTTGGCTGCTGATCGTTGGACCAGTTGGAGCTTCCGAGCCGTCTTCAAGGGCAGCCCCACATAGAGCGCATTGCAGTATCCAATCTGGAGGTGACCAAGGCATGGACCACTCCGGCCAGATCCGCCTTTGCGAGGTACGGTCGCAGTTGGCGCACGAGTCTCAGTTGTGCGAAAGCCCTCCCAGACACCGCCGACGCCTGAGCCTCAAGCGTAAGCGTTGAATCCAAGAGGACTCCCAAACTGCGGACCTGTGACTTCAGGGGGAGTGTAACCCCGTCCAGCACAGGTTGCCACCCTATACCCCGGTCAGGTTTACGATCGACCAGAAGGACCTCTGTCTTGTCGGGATTGATCGTCAGCTTGTTCCTCCTCATCCAGATAGACACAGCGGCCAGGCACTCGTCCAGCACCCGAGAGGCCTCCTTGGAATTAGGTGGAAAGGAGTAGTAGAGCTGGGAAGGATTGGAGCCACGACAAAACCGTGCCCCCGAGACCCATCCCAGAGAGTCGTCCCAGAAAGATACCATGATCGATGGTATCGAAAGCCGCTGAGATGTCCAAGAGAACCAACAGAGTCACACTCCCCCTGTCCAGCTCTCTACGGAGGTCATCCACCAAGGCGACCAAGGCTGTCTCGGTGCCGTGACCAGGCCTGAAACCAGACTGTGACTGATCTAGGTAGTTGATGTCATCTAAAAAGCCCTGGAGCTGGGAGGCAACCACCCGCTCCAGCACCTTACCCAAGAAAGGGAGGTTGGAGATCGGTCTGAAATTGTTCAGCACCGTGGAGTCAAGGGAAACCTTTTTAAGGAGTAGACGAACCACAGCTTGTTTTAGGAGAGATGGAAAAAAACCCCTGCTCCAGTGATGCATTGATGATCAACCCAAACCAATCAACCAAACCCTCCCTGGCCGATTTAATTAGCCAGGAAGGGCAAGGTTCCAGAGCCGAAGTGGTTGCCCTCACAGCCCCAAGGACCTCCTCCACAGTCTCAGGAGGAACAAGCCTAAAAGAATCCCATAAGCGAGACTCTACTGTATCATCTGCATATCTAAGGTCATTAATGTTTCGTCCAGCCATTTTAACTCCAGCCTTGGATTCGTCAAGCCCCGCACGACACATGATGTGTTTTGCATACAAGTTGAATAGGTTGGGGGAGAGTATGCAGCCCTGCTGTACTCCTTTCCCAATCTTGAACCAGTTGGTTGTTCTGTGGTCTGTTCTTACTGTTGCTACTTGGTTGTTATATAGATTCCTCAGGAGACAGACATCTTGAAGATTTCCAGATCATTCTTATTATGTTTTACTTACCTCTTCAGGCAACTGTTTACACTGCTGAGCTACTCTCTTACTGGCAGGAATTTCCTTCTAACGTTCAATTGAAATCTACCCTCCTGTAACTTGAAACCATTTGACTTAGTTCTGTCTCCTCTGCAGCAGCCACAAATCTGCCCCTTCCTTTCTGTAACGGTCCTTGAGCCATTTAAAGGATACAGTTATGCCATTCCTCCGTCTTCCCTTCATCAAGCTGAACATTTAAACAAGCCAATCCTTTCAACTTTCCTCATATGTGTTGTCCTCCATAACCCTTAGCATCCTTGTTCCCCTCTCTGAATCCACTCAAAGTTGTCTGTATCCTTCTTACAATAAATCAACCAGAACTGAATGCAAGTCTCCAGGTAAGGCATGAGCTTATCAGAATTCAAGAGTATAGTGGGACCATTATGTCCCTTGACATGGAAAGTGTGGTTCTATTAGTCCAGGCTAAAATACAATTTTCCGCAACCATTGGCAATCACTCATGTCCAAGTAGGATGGCCTTCCAAGTGCAGGGTCTTTGCGGTGGGTCCGTAAGTGGCTGTAGAGACTTGTTATTGATCCCCACGGTCTTTCTTCCACAGAGAGGATATCGGTTTCCACACAGAAGGCGGTCCCAACAAGGGTTGGCTTGAAGCGCCTCTTTCTTCTTGAGACGTTCCCCTTTGAATTTCACAGCACTGTTGCCCATAGCTGACCTCTAGTGAGAATGCTCAAGGGCCAGGGCTTCCCAGCTCTCTCTCAGTGTCTATACCACAGTTTTTTAGATCAGATTTAAGCCCATCTTTCGATCTCTTTTCATGCCCACCAGCATTCCGTTTTCCATTCTTCAGTTGGGAGTAGAGTCACTGCTTTTGGGAGACAGTGATCTTTGGGCATTCAGACAACGTGACCTTCAGTCCAGCGGAGTTGATAGCGGAGGATCATGGCCCCAATGCTTGTGGCCTTGCCTTCTTTCAGATGCTGATATTTGTCAGCCTGTTTTCTTCCCAAGAGATTTGCAGGGTTTTCTGGAGGCAACGCTGATGGAATTGTTCCAGGACATCTGTAGACGGTCCACTTTTCCTAGGCATATTACAGGGTTGGGAGGACAATAGTTTTACAAACAGGCTTCCCTATGAATGTTCCGGTCCTCAAACACTCTCTGCTTCATCTGGAAGAACTCTGCACTTGCATAACTCAGGTGGTGTTGTATTACAGTGTCAATGTTGACATTTCTGCAGCATCACATTGCTAGCTTATATCCGTACTTTTCTATCTTTCATCAGTTTGCAGATCAAAATATTATTGGGAACCTTACCAAATGCTTTGCTGAAATCCAGATACATGATATCCACAGCATTCCCACCTACTGAACTAGTAATCTGATAAAAAACAAAAACAAACATGAGTTTGGCAGGACTTCTTCTTGACAGGCTCATGCTAATTCGGATTTATAATTGCATTGTTGTCAAGAAACTTGCAGATAGACTCCTGCATCATCTGTTGTAATATATTTCCCTGGTCTTGCAATCAGGCTGACTGGCCTGTGGATTTTGAGATCTTCTTTTTTGCCTCTGTTAAGGCTTGATATGTTTGGAGCGCAGCTATCAGAATCCCACTCCTGCTTTCTTTTATATGCGGTTATGGGAAAAGGCACCAATATATTGTAACATGAGATTTTATTTCTGTGTTAGGAGTGACTCGTGTTTTCTTTTGCTTTGCAAGTCACTTCTGGTGTCAGAGAAATGGCTGTCTGCATAGACATTGCCCAGGGGACACCTGGATGTATTACCATCCTGTGGGAGGGTTCTCTTATGTCCCCGCATGGGGAGCTGGAGCTGACAGAGGGAGCTCAACCCACTCTGCCTGGATTTGAACTGCTGACCGATAGGCACCATCCCAGCACAAGGGATGGTGCCATTGTGCCACCCTGAGATGAAGAGAAGAGAAATGGAGATGGCATGAAGGATATCTATTGTATGGCATCTTAAAGCTGCCAGTCAAGGTGTGGTTGTTTTGTGGATCCTCTGGTCCACATTTCTGTTTAGTGCAGGAATTCCATCACTAGAACACCCAAGATAGAAATGACTGTTGTGTTCCCGCTTGAAGAATCATGCTGTGTTTTGTAATGAATTCCGTTGCTCAACTGTCTTCCCATTGAGAGGTTTTATCCTAACCTTCCCTCCTTTAAACCCCAGATCTTGTCCTAGGCTGGAGCTACACCCCAAAAATGTCCCTGTTCCAACTTACAAGCAAATTCAACTTAAGAACAAACCTACAGAACCTATCTTCTTCCTAACTTGGGGACTGCCTGTGTGTATGTACATTTAATACATTTAATTTTTCACCCTGTCCAGATGGAATCTTTTACATGAACATCCTTCTCTTTTGCCTTTTTAAAGGACTAGAAAATGAACACCTGAGACATAATATAGGACCGAGGCTATGACATCATCCCTTTTGTTCTCCTGTGTTGATTTCTGACATCTTTGATTAAGAAGAAACTAGTGGAGCTTCAAAAGCATGCAGGATGTATGGTGTGCGTTTTCGTTGGCCCAATAAAGGTGTCCCTGTTTTGTAGACATAGGTGGCGCTGTTTGTCTGCAAGTCTCTTCCTTCTAGGATATGGTCTGGAATGGGATTGGCATTTAGCTTGGAGCAGTCCCTACTAAATGGAATGGCCTTTCTTTCTAGTTGGTAGATAATACATAGAGGAGTTCATTACATTACAGTAACAATGCTGGGTACATTATCTATTTGTTACATCTGTATCGCACCTAGGTATTGCTACATCATCATCATCATCATCATCATCATCACTTTATTTCTTAATTAGTCGCTCTCCACCAAAGTGCTCCGAGCGACTTACAGTTTAAAATAGCTTATACACAATATAAAACATTCAATATAAAAGCATTGAACATACATTGAACATGGAGTGGTCAGGCCAAAGGTCTGAAAGCTCCTGCCTTTGCTGTGGAGTTCCCCAGGGTGCTATCCTCTCGCCCCTGTTATTTAACATCTACGTCCGACCACTTGCTGGACTGGTGCAGAGCTTTGGCATAGAGTGCTACTAGTATGCAGATGATACCCAGCTACTCTTGCGTCTCGAACCTGGAACAACTGCGATTCCTGAGAACTTTAAGCTGTGTTTGGAAGCAGTGATGAGTTGGCTACGAGCAAGCAGACTAAAAGTCAATCCTGCAAAAACTGAGATACTCTGGCCCGGCCAGCCACCAGAATTAACCCAGTCTCTGCCTGATTTCGATGGGAAGCTCTGGTTCCGTCTGCCACTGTTAAAAGCCTTGGGGTTGTGTTGGAATCATCGCTGACGATGGGGGCCCAGATCACTGCCATAAGTAAGCAGGCCTTTTTCATCTTCGCCAGGCAAGGAAATTGGCATCCTACCTTTCGGTAGAAGCATTAGCAACGGTAATCCACGCAACAGTCACCACGAAGTTGGACTATTGCAATGCCTTATATGCTGGTCTTCCGAAGTCAACGACCCAGAAGATTCGGATGGTCCAAAATGCGGCAGCCAGGCTGCTAGCGGGATCATCTATAAGATCCCATATTACACCGATTCTGCAACAACTGCATTGGCTACCAATAGAACATCGGATCTCTTACAAGATACTGATCCTGACATTTAGAGCTCAAAATGGCCAAGCACCTTTATATCTTAGGGACCACCTCATTCCTTTTCCCCATCAGTGGTCACCTCGATCCACGCAGGAAAATCTCCTCTACATACCGGGTCCTAGGGAGGCACATTTGGAAGCTACAAGGCGTAGAGCTTTTTTGATCTATGCTCCAATTCTGTGGAACTCATTGCCTCCATATATTAGAGCAATGTCGGAGTTGCGACCTTTTGTAAAGGCGCTCAAGACTTACCTGTTTGGTTGTGCATTTAAGTAACTGGATCAAATTTTGCCATAGTCACTGCTGAATGTTTTTATGTTGAAT